TAGAATAGAATAGAATAGAATAGAATAGAATAGAATAGAATAGAATAACAGAGTTGGAAGGGACCTTGGAGATCTTCTAGTCCAACCCCCTGCTTTGGCAAGAAACAATTTCAATTTCATTGTGCACGTGTTGTGCATTGACAATAAACATTTGAGTGATTGATTGATTGAACCCTATACCTACACCACTTCAGATAAATTATTATCTAATCTCTTCTTTAAAACTTCCAGTGTTGGAGCATTTACAACTTCTGGAGAGGGCCAAAGACTTAAGCGACATAGGACCAGGATAATCTGCAGCAGAATCCCCCCCCCCAAAACAACACAATGTCCACGCAAACAAAATTCTGCCTCTTTTTTAGATGTGTCACATCTGCAACACATTTTTTAAAGGGTGGTCTGTGATTGTAAGTGAATGGGCACCATCTGAATAATTCCCAGCCAGATCCAAGGAAAATGGGTGGGATATAAGATGAATGAACGAACGAACGAATGAATGAATGAATGAATTGTTCCTAAAAGCAGACAAGATCTGATAGACTGGACACATAGATATGTTCTGCTGTCTCACCAGCTAATTCTGAATGAAAGGAATAATCAGATCCTCCAAGGAAAACCTACCTTGCTTGCACGATAAGGGTACATCGGTGCCTTCATGACTTCAAAGCCCCTTTCAATGGAGGCCAACTTGGAGGTTATATTTATGATGGCTGCCCTCTGGCAGCTCATCTCCGCTATAGCTGCCTCTCGAGCTGCTTTCTTCAGCAGAGGTAGAAATTCCTGAGGGGAACAAGTTACATTAAGTTGTGAAATGAGGCCATGACGACCCAGAAACTGAATGGCTGGTATCAGAATCATGTACTTGTCTCTGAGATATTACCCCTTGTTTTTGTTGACTAATGCTATCTTTGCTTCCCCTTTTCTTTGTCTCGGCAGCCCTATTCCTTCATTACTCTCTTTCACATCTCCTTAGTCGTCACACTTCCATCTCACATCCAATTCAACATCCCAACAATCTTTACAACTTTCTGTGATCACTGAACCCACTTCAGGTTTAACTCTGACGCTTCTACATGTTAATAACACCTTACAATAGATGGGATGGAATTCTTTATTGGCTGAGTGTCATTGCACACCAGGAATTTATCTCTGGGGCATAAGCTCTCAGCATACACACAAACAGCATGGTCATAGATCATGAACCACCAAGGACCTGTATACTGCACAAGTCAAAAAGAGGGCTGTGAAAATATTTACAGACCCCTCACATCCGGGACATAAACTGTTCCAACTCCTACCCTCAAAATGACGCTATAGAGCACTGCACACCAGAACAACTAGACACAAGGACAGTTTTCCCCCGAACGCCATCACTCTTCCAAATAAAATAATTTCCTCAATACTGTTCCACTATTTACAAAGTCTGCGCTACTATTACTATTAATCTTCTCATCACTCCTTATCACCCATCCCCCCCCCACTTGTGACTGTATGACTGTAACCTTGTTGCTTGCATCCTTGTGATTTATATTAACTGTTTCCTACTATGATTTGATTGCTTATTGTACCCTATGACTATAATTAAGTGTTTTACCTTCTGATTCTTGACGAATGTATCTTTTCTTGTTATGTACACTGCGAGCACATGCACCAAGACAAATTCCTTGGGTGTCTAATCACACTTGGCCAATAAAGAATTAATTAATTAATTAATTAATTAATTCGTTCATAATATTGTAGAACATGTTGGGGTGTGATGCTAGTTCGCCTCCTTGTGGTGCGCCCTGCATAGCACAGAAGTGTGAATCAAATGATTAGCAACAACTGGCAGCCAGACTACATTGAAGCATTGGCAGTTAATGACAGTTGGCAGCCAGACATCTTTGTAGAATTCCTGGCTCTCTAAATACATGGCAACAAATACAAGACAGATAGGGGCTAACAGGACCTATTGAGGCTGGTTTCCAGCAAGGCATAAAAACCACAGCTGTGTTCATCGACCTTACTGTAGCATATGATACCCCTCAGTGTGTCTGTGTCCAAATGTCCATCAAGAGCTTAGACCAGCCCAATGCCTGGTAAGTCCATGTATTTGCCATATGCTAAATAATAAATAAAATAAATAGGACATGATAGGTGGGATGTATGATAGGATGTGAATCAGTAATCCATCATGCATTGCTAAAAAAGCCCAACAAAGAATGTTCTGTCTGTGCCAATTCACAAAGCTCCAACTGCCCAAGGAGCTGCTGATCCAGTTCTACAGAGGAATTATTGAGTCTGTCATCTGCACCTCTATAACTGTCTGGTTTGGTTCTGCAACCCAACCGGACAGACACAGACTTCAGAGAGTAATTAGGATTTCAGAAAAAAAAAATTACTACCAACCTGCCTTCCATCAAGGACCTGTATACTACACAATGGCTGTGAAAATATTTACAGACCCCTCATATCCTGGACATAAACTGTCCCAACTCCTACCCTCAAAACGACACTATAAAGCACTGCACACCAGAACAACTAGAGACAAGGACAGTTTTTCCCCGAAAGCCATCAGTCCCCCAACACTGTCCAACTATTTACAAAGTCTGCACTACTATCACTATTAATCTTCTCATCACTCGTTATTGCCCATCCCCTCCCACTTGTGACTGTATGTCTGTAACTTTGTCACTTGTATCCTTACGATTTATATTGACTGTTTCCTAGTATGATTGATTGCTTATTGTACTCTATGATTATCATTAAGTGTTGTACCTTATGATTCTTGATTCTTGACAAATGTATCTTTTCTTTTATGTACACTGAGAGCATTTGCACCAAAGACAAATTCCTCATGTGTCCAATCACACTTGGCCAATAAAGAATTCTATTCTATTCTATTCTATTCTATTCTATTCTATTCTATTCTAT